GAGAAATCGAACTTGCGAGGCTTGATGGTTGAAATATGATGAAAAAGTCGAGGTGGTTGAGAAACCGAACTTGCAAGACTTGATGGCTGAAATATGATGAAGAAGCCGAGGTGGTAGAGAAATCGAACCGACGAGGCTTGATGGCTAAAATCTGATCAAGAAGCCGAGGTAGTTAAGAAACCGAACCTGCGAGGCTTGATGGTTGAAATATGATGAAGAAGTCGAAGTGGTTGAGAAACCGAACCTACGAGGCTTGATGGCTAAATCTGAGGCATATTGAAAATAATTGTTCCTCGACAGCTGTGCCAATGATTTAATGTTTTGCACATATTTTCAAGGAAAAGTGGCTGAACCGTTACAACTTCCAAGGCGCCTACTGCCGTTGAATTAAAATCGTAATTATGAGAACAGCTGGAGCTTTTAGAAGCAGACGCATTGGAGGAGGTGCGTGTGAGACACTCTTTAATCTGAGGTGTAGGTTTGAAAAACCCTTTGAATTCTATGCCTCGGATTTGATTAAGAATGAAGGGTCCAGATTGGATGAGATTTGATCAGACGGTTGGGGTTCATCCTGACCCTTTATAAAAGGCGAGAGACCCCCATTGTCTTGGATTTTCTACCCTTTGCAATCCAATTTTTCTTTGAAAGCTTAAGTTTTTCGGCGTTGAAGCTGTCTTTTTTTTATTTTCCGGCACAGATGGCGCCAATTTGTTGACCCTAGAAAATGTTACCAACAGATACTAGACCCACCCGCGCACACGTGAGCGGAAGTCCAACACACAAAGACACGTGGACGGTCTAAAAAGGACAGATCAAGGGCGTGGGAGTAGCTCAACGACGCGGGACAAGAGCGTTTGGAATTCGGCGAGATGATGATAGGCCGATTGTACAATAATTACCAATCAATGTTTGTAAATGTGTATCTAAATATGTATGAACTCGTTTATGTTGCAAGGTAATAAGAAAGAGAGAGAGAGTTGAGTAAATTATGGTTTCTTGTATTGATCTTTGTATTAGCCTTTGTATGGGACACATGGGGAAGTATTTATAGTATCACAAGTTAGATCGTGACCTTTGGTTCGAGGTACACGTAGCCTCATCCGGTTAATTTACAAGTCAAATTGTAGGCTGATCAATCGCACCTAGCCTGTTATACATTTATTGATTGGCAGAGCCGCCTCTACTAGTGACAAGACTTAACATTTACACTCATGACAAACGTTCTATCAATTATCCAAGTAAGATCTTTGTGTAGAAGATCTCTTGGGAAAGGTGTCTATGGAAGAAATTGTTTTGTGCTTCGTAGGCTGTCACCTCGACTACAGAGCTTTGGCAAATAGAGCCTCGTCCACCTTCAAAAGGCATCGGCATATGGGTTTCGGAAGCTCCTCATGAGGCAATGATAAATGGGCCTCGATGTATGGGCCTCGGCTATGAAAATCACCTTGGATTGAGTGCTACGTGGTTCGGCATGAATTTGCTGTGGGTCCTATGGGTTGCCCAAGTGTGCGAACACGTAACAATAGTCCCCCAAGTCCAAGTACGGTCATTTATGTAGTGTGAGGACTTTGATGAAGTAAAGCCAACCAGTTAAGTTGAAAGAAATTTTTGTACCCCAAATAATAGTCCCCAAAGTCAAAGTATAGATATTTATGTCATGGTTGGAGTTAGAGATTTGCTGTTGCCTAAGGAGTGATGAAGCCGAGGTGGTTGGGAAATCGAATCTGCGAGGCTTGATGTGTGAAGTGTGATTAAGAAGCCCAGGTAGTTGAGAGACCAAACCTGCAAGGCTTGATGGCTGAAATATGATAAAAAAGCCGAGGTGGTTGAAAAATCGAACCTGCGAGACTTGATGGCTGAAATATGATGAAGAAGTCGAGGTGGTTAAGAAATCGAACCTGCGAGGTTTAATGGCTGAAATATGATGAAGAAGTCGAGGTGATTGAGAAACCGAACCGACGAGGCTTGATGGCTGAAATATGATGAAGAAGTCGAGGTGGTTGAGAAATCGAACCTACGAGGCTTGATGGCTGAAATCTGAGGCATATTGACAATAATTGTTAATCGGCAGCTGTGCCAATGATTTGATATCTTGCGCATATTTTCGAGGAAAAGTGGTTGAACTGTTACAACTTCCAAGGTGCCTGCTGCCGTTGAATTAAAATCGTAATTATGAGAATAGCTGGAGCTTCTAGAAGCGGACGCGTTGGAGGAGGTGCGTGCGAGACAGGCTTGAATTTGAGGCGTAGGTTTGAAAAATCGTTTGAATTCTATGTCTCGGATTTGATTAAGAATGAAGGGTCCAGATTGGATGAGATTTCATCAGACGGTTGGGGTTCGTCCTGACCCTTTATAAAAGGCAAGAGACCCCCGTTGTCTTGGATTTTCTACCCTTTGCAATCCGATTTTTCTTTGAAAGCTTAAGTTTTCCGGCGTTGAAGCTGTTTGTTTCTTGATTTTCCGGCACAGACGACGCCAATATGTTGACCCCAGAAAATGTTACCAACAGATACCGGACCCACCCGCGCACACATGAGCGGAAGTCTAACACGCAAAGACACGTGGACGGTCTAAAAAGGACAGATCAAGGACGTGGGAGTAGCTCAACGACGCGGGATGAAAACGTTCGGAATTCGACGAGATGATGATAGACCGATTGTACAATAATTACCAATCGATATTTGTAAATGTGTATTTAAATATGTATGAACTCGTTTATGTTGCAAGGTAATAAGAAAGAGAGAGAGTTGAGTAAATTATGTTTTCTTGTATTGATCTTTGCATTAGCCTTTGTATGGGGTATGTGGGGGAGTATTTATAGTGTCACAAGTTAGATCGTGACCTTTGGTTCAGGGTACACGTGGCCGCATCCGGTTAATTTACTTGTCAAATTGTAGGCTGATAAACCGCACATTGCCTGTTATATATTTATTGATTGGCAGAGCCGCCTCTACTAGTGACAAGACTTAACATTTACACTCATGACAAACGTCCTATTAATCATTCAAGTAAAATCTTTGTGCAGAAGATCTCTTGGGAGAGGTGTCTATGGAAGAAGTTGCTTTGTGCTTCGTAGGCTATTACCTTGGCTACAGAGTTTCGGCAAACAGGGCCTTGTCCACCTTCAAAGGGCCTCGGAAGCTCCTCATAAGGCAATGATAAATGAGCCTCGACTATGCAAATCACCTCAGATTGAGTGCCACGTGGTTCGGCATGAGTTAGCTATAGGCCCTGTGGGTTGCCCAATTATGCGAACACGTAACAGACATTGTTCACATAAGCAGCCCTTCTGGTAACTCTACTAATTGGAACGTTGACATGTCACTGGCCAAGAGGAGGGCTTTCGTCTATTGATAACAATATTATGAGAACAAGTGGCTGACATTTTCAAGAAACAATAGGCAATCTTCTTTTGACAAAACAAACTTGGTAATTTAACACATAAACACAAGTTAATTGAGATTGCGAGGACAAGAAAAATGTTACCCACTTCATTTAAAAATTTACGTTTAGATCGATTTGGACATATATGTAGAAATCTTTCTTTTATTTCCAAATGACCCCACATGTACTAGTCATCTTGGATGAAGATTAATTTAAATAAGCAACGTGGAGTTGAACAATTTGTTTATCTTTAGTATAATTTTCAGGAATTTGAAATTTACATTATCAAGTATTTGATATAATACAATTTTCTCTTTAGCTATGGTTATTTAAAAAATTTAGCAATATAAACCTTCGTAACATTATTACTAAAAATCAAGTGCTTGTGCGTGTTCTTAACTAGTTTACTTTAAAGGTGAATTTGAAATGCATAACATATGAAAATGTATTTATTCTTTTTTTCATTTTTCGGATGATATTTATAATTTACTTATAAAGAAATAAAACATACAATATATGTAATTAAACTTAGTCCATGTATGATGTGAATTAAAAGCTAAATTTTAATTTAAGTCAAAGTTAATAATGAACTCCTAATAAAATTGATTAAAATTTTGATTTTAATCTCCATCAAACAAGGTTTAATATCAAATGCACATTGATGATCTAACAACGTATATGCAAAATAGATCTCAACAAGGTTACAGTAAATTTAACAGAAAAGGGGACATATTATGCATTTATTTTCTCATTTTAATTCTATCATTTGCAACAAATGCAGCAAATTAATTAAAACAACTCTTTTGCCATGTGTTCCTTCTATTTATTTATTTTTTTAATTTAAAATGTCCATTTATAGGTCAAATTATCAAAAAAGTAATTTAATTATACTTTTATTATTTCTAGAAAAGGTTAAATTCGCAGAGTAATTCTGTCAAGTTGGAGAAGGATTTATGTCAAGTTTATCGAATTTTTACTAGAAGAAATGGCTGAATCTTAAAAACAGGTAACAAACTACTTTCCTCAATACGAGCCTTCTGAATAAAGAAAAGCAATTTTAGATTGCAAAATCAAAAAAGAATCTTATTCTCCTTATCTATAAAATTGATTTTTTTAGAAAAGAACAATATATGTTTATTTAAACGTCATTTTTCAAAGGTTTCGACAAGTTCTTTCAAATACTATAAGACTTGAAATCAAATTGATTTTTTTTTTTTTTAATCTTTTCAAATTTTAAAACATGTTCGATAATGATTATAAAAATTGATTTTTTGATCGTTAGAGAGAAAAATGAATCCATCTGTGAATGAAGAAATTAAAAATGACGATTCAAATGGAAAAGTAATGATCAAAATTTTAGATATTTTGGGATAAAAAATCAAAATCAAACGAAGACTAAATGCCATATTGATCGTGTTATCTAAATACTCGATTAGTGGACGGTAATCAGTCTAATCTTTTGCTAGATGTCATCTTTTTTGGCCTGTATAAAACTGGTCATACTTGTACCGCCACGTCCCCAAAGCAGCACAATGTGGAACGCAGAATACGCCATCCACGTTTCTTCATGTGTGCTCAAATCCCCCCCGCCCCCCAAGAAAAGCAAGCAACTTCATTTTCAAGATAAATTATTTGTGAAAAAGATCATAGTCAATTTCAAACACTCATATACCACGCCTACCTGGTGGATCTACGTCATTTTCATGGATGAAAACAAGCTTCAGAGAAACTTCATATTCATTATGTTTTTGTTCATCGCCTTCTTCTTCTACTTCCACAGCACCGCCGTAGTCTCGGCGGCTGCGGCGGCGGATGGAGATGAAAAGGAAGAGCACTACATGCATGTTGAAGAAAGGAAAACGCCTACAATCGACGCAGTTAAGAGGATGTTTTCTTTTTCAACAACGCCTTCCAACTATTTGACGAGAGTCTTGCACTACTTTTATCCTCCAAATTTAGAGTAAGATTTCTCTCATGTTCTTCGCTTGATAGATTTAGGGATTATTTAAGTGCTTGTTCGGTATACTTTTCTTGGTTGAACTTTAAAATTTCGGGTTTATGAATAAGTAAAAAATTGAATTGAATTCCATTGAATGGTACCAACAAAATCGAGTGCTAACTCCCATTTCTTATTGAATTCGATAGTTTTCGGCAAAAAAATCTGAGCTTTGCCAAACATGATATAAAAATTTCTTGGTTTATTCATATCTTTGATTTCAATGTGCAGTTTCCGGGGAGTGGATGACGAGAAGGCCGGAGAAGAGGGTGCCACGGAGAAGGTAAAACAGGCTGTGGTGAAGAGCATGGATAAGAGCAAGACAGCGGCACAAGATTCTGCTAAATCAGCAGCAAAATTTGCAGAAGAAGCTGTGGGAGAGACCGTTAACAAAGTGAAGAGAACGTTGTCTGGCGACCATGAAGAAGAACTCTGATGCATATTGTGGGATTTGTTTGTTTGTTTTATCAAGATGATGCAAAGTGAAAACTATGGGAGTAGACACTAGGCGGTATACTTGTTGTATATGTTTGGCAAGGATTTTTAAATTTACAAGTCGATTAAATGTCATTTTTAATCATACTCTTTGAATCCACTACCTTTATCTATTTTTAAATCACAGTTTTATGAACATTTAAAAGAATAGAAATGTACGAAGAAAAAGAAGTCACGTTTATTATATTGTTTAGCCACGGAATGTGCACGAACCTATAGAAACAGAGTACAATATGATGCCCAAATATTGGGATACTTTGCTTCCTCACCAAATTCCAATCCAAGAATGGTTTGTGACAACTTTATTTTTGTAAGTGCTATTCACTATATTGGAAAGTATTCAATGAAAATAGAAATGAAAACAAGCAATCAAGAAACTTGAGAGCTTCCGTCACCATATAAACCACCCATGGATTTGGCAGAAAGCTACAGTCACAAGGTGAAACGCCTGCATTGTAAAACTGGTCTGCCAAAAGAGAGTGATAATAAAAATGAGCAAATTTTTGCATACGACACGAGACAACAAATGCTACATTAAGTCCCTTTACCTGAAAAATTCCCATTTTTGCTGTGCATAATATGAAAGGTCAAAACACATTATCACATATCAATATTCTTCACATAAGATTGTACCTACGTTGTTATAAGACAATATGCACAGAGATATTCCTATGCATTGCACGTTAGGCATTTTGTGAAAGAGATGACAAAAAGAAAATTAACTGGCGAACAACTAAACAATTCGCTTTAATTTTGAAATTACACAGGGAAGCCTTCATTTTCCATTACAGTCTCAGGCAACTTACCACAAGAGAACATTTACATTCCCCATCAAAGACTCAAGTCTTCATTTGAAAGACAAGGAGATTCGAGAAAGCACCATCGCACCAGTGACAAGAAGTAACTTATTACCTAACATATGAGTGTGTGCTTGACAAACATAGACTATATACATAGGATTGGATATGATTGGATGACCATCTTAAGTTCCAGTAGATCCTATATGGCGCTACGAAAGAAATACATAAAACTGTCTAACTCCTATCTACTCTACCACCTAATAGCTATACTATCCATTCTACTCTAATGGATTTTTATCCAATTGGATCCAATCTTCTCGTCTCCAGATCATTTTGGAAAAATGCAACAGGATATGTTTTACTAACATATTTCAGATTTTCTTTCCAAAATAAATAAATAAATAAAAAGCCATGAATAATACTCATGTAGTACGTGTAAATCCCCGAAAACAAAGAATGCCTCTTGTAACATGAGTTTCTTGTGTATTCTCCATGGGCAACTACACAAGTGTGCGAGCACCTTTTGAATTGGAAATTGAAACTAGAAGAACCACATAGGAGGAGAAACACCATGCAGGTGTGGCACCCTCTCATAACACCACATCAATGTGTGCTTTCTATCCTAAAAGATGATGGAGGCTCACAACTATAAGGGTTATTTATAGCCCTTATGCATCTTGTCTAATTTGACAGATTCCCGTCTAATTCGCAGTGCAGCACCTATTAGGATATGTTACTACTAATTGTGGAGCTATTTATGGGACTTAGTGGACCATCGTAATCCAAGCTCTGGTGATCCATTGGGTCCCTAAGCAGCTCGATAACTAAAAGGGCAGTATAGATAATCTAATTAGGACTACCCTACAATTATGTAAACTTGAAAATCACGACAATACAATGAGTAGGGCCTATATAAACCATTACTAGCCATGAGCCTCCATCGTTCAAGAGAGGCAAGCGGCTGTTGGGGGAAATTTACACCGATTACGTGCATATTATATTCACAAAAGCATACCGATTATTTGCGTGAAATCGAAACGTAATTTCGACTTACCGAAATAGGATTTGAGAAGCAAAACATAAAAGTTACCGAATCTGAATACATGGATATGGATTCATCCCTTTCGATTCTTGAACGAAAGTAAATTATTCTTTTGATCGAACCTTGCAATATAAATATTAAATAATGTTAATCATTTCCCAAAATCAAAATATAGTCAAAAGAAATCAGAAAACTGTAGGAAGAAAGATGCAAGTGATGAATTTTTGGTCGAGGCAAGTGTTTGACACTTGGTCCTTAAAATGAATTTGCTCCACATCGGTGCTAACAATTTTTCAACAATCATCTCCCAAAATACAACGACCACGTCAAGCCATAGGAGCACTTCAAATGATTTCAACCAACGAACTCGAACGAAATTCCCTCTCTACCAAGAAAATGCATGAAAATGCTATGGAATTAGAAATGAGAGAATTGCAAGAGGAGAAAGAATGCTTAATGCAATTGATGTACTCAGAACTATGTCCATATGATTCTATTTATAGATGTAGAAAGGGCGCAAATGAAGTAATGTGGGCCAAAACATGCATCATTTCAAAAAGTTGCAACATTTGGCCAAAACCCGCATCCTTTCGAAAAGTTGCAACAGTTCATTTCTTCCAATTTTGGTCCGCAATTTATCATTCATCCGGAATTGATTTTGAGATTCCAAATATACCACGACGATCTACTCGACGAGTAGAATAAGTTGGTCTATTTACTTTTATAATTTGACCATCGGATCAAGTCCAAATATTTGGTCGAAGTTGACACGTAGTCACACCTTTTCATTTTTCACTTTTACACACCTTTTCATTTTCCAATTTTTGGTTAATATTTGAACCAATTCCTACAATCCCTCACATGAATGGAAATTGGGTACACATATACAAATGCGATGATATGATGCAATGTAGAGAGGGTGCGAAAAAACACAGCATTAGGAAATGTAGCTTCTGGCCTTAAACCTCCCTTAATGAAATACCACCGGATTTACTCGGCTAATTGGTGAATGTGATGTCTTGAACCATTCAGCCTTTAGTGTAAGCCAAGACAACGATACTCACACAATGTCTTCCCTAAACCGTTCATAGTTCTCATGATTTGGTTCATTTTGGCCCTGAACCCTTCTTGGTTCTACGAGTGTTTAAAGAATTCAAGCCTTGAATAATTCTCATTGAAGCGGCCCCACTTCACACTCACATAGGTGACATCCTATTAAGAGTATTCTACCCTACTCCACTTGACTTAATCAAGATATAAAAATCATTAAAAGATTATCTTAACCTCTCACAACTCTATAGAAAGCACTTTAATATCATAGGAATGAGTCAGGAAACTATTTTCCTTAGTGCTTCATGGAATTCTCATAACTTAGTTGTCCCTTCGAACCAAGATCTTGGGATCTCCAGTCAATAAGGTAGGGTTACCATTATAAGGACTCTAATGTAGTAGGCTTTACCTCTTTCCCTTTGATATGCAGTATGTTTTATCTCTCTTAGTAAATCTCTTTAAAGGTACCACGAGTTTACATTACTGAAATCAACTGCTTAATGGTATTATGTCTATGATTTATACGTTTAGATCTACCATTACATATGACTTAGTATCTTATCAAATATAGCTAACCAATGATCGATTCATTTGATAGATACAAATTGTCGCCACCAAGAAATCCTCTCATAAAGCTATATGCCTCATTAGCTTTATCTAAAGTTTTATCGATTTCCAAACACGGTTGGAGGATTTCTATCAAACACTACACTAGTTAATCACTTTTACTAGTGGATTTCAGAATCATGGGTACAAATATCATCATTGAAGCATTACCATGCATTTGAACTTTATGAATATTCTTCATATATTCCAATTGTTCTTGCATGTTTAAACAAACGCCATAATCGGCTTTACAACCAATTTCATCCACTTTAGACTTAGTGTATATCATTCTTATAATTAGTATAAGGGTTTTCTATCTTTCCACCTTCATAGATATTTTTCTATGATTATAAGATAAAAGCAAATGTAACTGTTAAACTGAGTTACCCCCACAATTTCTCAATTAGGAATACAAATATAATCTAGTAATATTGCATCCACAAGTTTTGAACTTTTCACTCAAGTTCACGATTATTAAATTTAACCCTCACATTCTTGGGGTATACTTGAACTTAGAGTTCATCAACTCTTTCATAGTTCAATTCATAATATCCGTACCGAGTGCTTTGTGAAAGTCTAAGTGCTTTCAAAATAGTGATCGTTGACTTACAATTTATTTCAATTAAAATTGCATATAACGTACTTTAATCCAATTATTTTAATTTGATCATTCAAATTAAATCAAGGCCATCATATATACTAGCAATGCTTTCAAAACATATACCAACTTAATTGGTTTTATAATTGAAGTCAAATTCAAAAATAAAGAGGGCTAAGCATTGCAACTTCTTCAAACATATGCAACTTATTACATTTGTGACATTTCACATGATAGTTTCATTTCAACCATCGGTTGAAAAGTTGTATTCTCAAAAGACACAATCCTACAAGAGGACACACCTCTTGAATGTTTCATTTCAACCATCGATTGAAAAGTCGTGTTCTCAAAAAACACAATCCTTCAAGAGGACACACCTCTTGAATTAATCTCTATAAAGAAACACACCCATTGAAAATTAATCATACCAAAAGTCATGATTCTCCATATGAAAAGACACATCTTTCCATGCAAAATTTTCTACGATTTCAAATAATTAAGTGGCTTAATTCTCATTACTAATAATGATATCCACTTAATCATCTCACTTAATTTTATGAAATTAATTGAGGCTATCATCATAGTCAAAGTTAGTATAATTTCAATAAGATATGAAATTTTAACCAACTAATTTACCATGCCATTATCATAGTCCAATAAAAGGGATCGTCATGAAAGTTCACATACTTTAGTCAAATAATTGGCATCCTTATATGTCCAATGGTTAGGAATAATTTCCTTATTTCCATCCATTCATTATTGGACTCGAGTTGATTTTAACAATATCCAATTCATCATGACCAAAGTGAAGGAATAACAACTAATACTTCAAACATTTATACATCCATTGTATAAATTTATTCCATTTATAGGAGTGTTCACTTCCATATCATAAGAGATATTGCAATCCCATATAGAAGAAAATGACCTCTCACAAGTTCCCAAGATGGACATTGTACGAAAATGTCATATTTTTTCGAGGCTAGTAGAAGAATTTCACAAACTAGAATGTT